ACATCACCTGACTGACCTCCGCCGCTCCTCCCACATCACCTGACTGACCTCCTCCTACATCACCTGACTGACCTCGGCTGCTCCTCCCACACTTCCCAGAGGCCTCTGCAGGTGGCAGTTGAAAATCTCCTCGGCTCGCTTCAAGTATTGGGAGATCTTCCTCTTCACGGCATCTCGGCGCTCCCGACTCGGGTCCACTGCGGGAGAAACACAGAAGATTAGGGGATAGAGAAGACGGAGGACAGTGGGGGAGGGAAGGCGGAGGACAGTGGGGGAGGGAGGAAGGAGGACAGTCTCCGCTCCTCCCACATCACCTGACTGACCTCCTCCTACATCACCTGACTGACCTCCTCCTACATCACCTGACTGACCTCCTCCTACATCACCTGACTGACCTCCTCCTACATCACCTGACTGACCTCCTCCTACATCACCTGACTGACCTCCTCCTACATCACCTGACTGACCTCCTCCTACATCACCTGACTGACCTCCTCCTACATCACCTGACTGACCTCCTCCTACATCACCTGACTGACCTCCTCCTACATCACCTGACTGACCTCCTCCTACATCACCTGACTGACCTCCTCCTACATCACCTGACTGACCTCCTCCTACATCACCTGACTGACCTCCTCCTACATCACCTGACTGACCTCCTCCTACATCACCTGACTGACCTCCTCCTACATCACCTGACTGACCTCCTCCTACATCACCTGACTGACCTCCTCCTACATCACCTGACTGACCTCCTCCTACATCACCTGACTGACCTCCTCCTACATCACCTGACTGACCTCCTCCTACATCACCTGACTGACCTCCTCCTACATCACCTGACTGACCTCCTCCTACATCACCTGACTGACCTCCTCCTACATCACCTGACTGACCTCCTCCTACATCACCTGACTGACCTCCTCCTACATCACCTGACTGACCTCCTCCTACATCACCTGACTGACCTCCTCCTACATCACCTGACTGACCTCCTCCTACATCACCTGACTGACCTCCTCCTACATCACCTGACTGACCTCCTCCTACATCACCTGACTGACCTCCTCCTACATCACCTGACTGACCTCCTCCTACATCACCTGACTGACCTCCTCCTACATCACCTGACTGACCTCCTCCTACATCACCTGACTGACCTCCTCCTACATCACCTGACTGACCTCCTCCTACATCACCTGACTGACCTCCTCCTACATCACCTGACTGACCTCCTCCTACATCACCTGACTGACCTCCTCCTACATCACCTGACTGACCTCCTCCTACATCACCTGACTGACCTCCTCCTACATCACCTGACTGACCTCCTCCTACATCACCTGACTGACCTCCTCCTACATCACCTGACTGACCTCCTCCTACATCACCTGACTGACCTCCTCCTACATCACCTGACTGACCTCCTCCTACATCACCTGACTGACCTCCTCCTACATCACCTGACTGACCTCCTCCTACATCACCTGACTGACCTCCTCCTACATCACCTGACTGACCTCCTCCTACATCACCTGACTGACCTCCTCCTACATCACCTGACTGACCTCCTCCTACATCACCTGACTGACCTCCTCCTACATCACCTGACTGACCTCCTCCTACATCACCTGACTGACCTCCTCCTACATCACCTGACTGACCTCCTCCTACATCACCTGACTGACCTCCTCCTACATCACCTGACTGACCTCCTCCTACATCACCTGACTGACCTCCTCCTACATCACCTGACTGACCTCCTCCTACATCACCTGACTGACCTCCTCCTACATCACCTGACTGACCTCCTCCTACATCACCTGACTGACCTCCTCCTACATCACCTGACTGACCTCCTCCTACATCACCTGACTGACCTCCTCCTACATCACCTGACTGACCTCCTCCTACATCACCTGACTGACCTCCTCCTACATCACCTGACTGACCTCCTCCTACATCACCTGACTGACCTCCTCCTACATCACCTGACTGACCTCCTCCTACATCACCTGACTGACCTCCTCCTACATCACCTGACTGACCTCCTCCTACATCACCTGACTGACCTCCTCCTACATCACCTGACTGACCTCCTCCTACATCACCTGACTGACCTCCTCCTACATCACCTGACTGACCTCCTCCTACATCACCTGACTGACCTCCTCCTACATCACCTGACTGACCTCCTCCTACATCACCTGACTGACCTCCTCCTACATCACCTGACTGACCTCCTCCTACATCACCTGACTGACCTCCTCCTACATCACCTGACTGACCTCCTCCTACATCACCTGACTGACCTCCTCCTACATCACCTGACTGACCTCCTCCTACATCACCTGACTGACCTCCTCCTACATCACCTGACTGACCTCCTCCTACATCACCTGACTGACCTCCTCCTACATCACCTGACTGACCTCCTCCTACATCACCTGACTGACCTCCTCCTACATCACCTGACTGACCTCCTCCTACATCACCTGACTGACCTCCTCCTACATCACCTGACTGACCTCCTCCTACATCACCTGACTGACCTCCTCCTACATCACCTGACTGACCTCCTCCTACATCACCTGACTGACCTCCTCCTACATCACCTGACTGACCTCCTCCTACATCACCTGACTGACCTCCTCCTACATCACCTGACTGACCTCCTCCTACATCACCTGACTGACCTCCTCCTACATCACCTGACTGACCTCCTCCTACATCACCTGACTGACCTCCTCCTACATCACCTGACTGACCTCCTCCTACATCACCTGACTGACCTCCTCCTACATCACCTGACTGACCTCCTCCTACATCACCTGACTGACCTCCTCCTACATCACCTGACTGACCTCCTCCTACATCACCTGACTGACCTCCTCCTACATCACCTGACTGACCTCCTCCTACATCACCTGACTGACCTCCTCCTACATCACCTGACTGACCTCCTCCTACATCACCTGACTGACCTCCTCCTACATCACCTGACTGACCTCCTCCTACATCACCTGACTGACCTCCTCCTACATCACCTGACTGACCTCCTCCTACATCACCTGACTGACCTCCTCCTACATCACCTGACTGACCTCCTCCTACATCACCTGACTGACCTCCTCCTACATCACCTGACTGACCTCCTCCTACATCACCTGACTGACCTCCTCCTACATCACCTGACTGACCTCCTCCTACATCACCTGACTGACCTCCTCCTACATCACCTGACTGACCTCCTCCTACATCACCTGACTGACCTCCTCCTACATCACCTGACTGACCTCCTCCTACATCACCTGACTGACCTCCTCCTACATCACCTGACTGACCTCCTCCTACATCACCTGACTGACCTCCTCCTACATCACCTGACTGACCTCCTCCTACATCACCTGACTGACCTCCTCCTACATCACCTGACTGACCTCCTCCTACATCACCTGACTGACCTCCTCCTACATCACCTGACTGACCTCCTCCTACATCACCTGACTGACCTCCTCCTACATCACCTGACTGACCTCCTCCTACATCACCTGACTGACCTCCTCCTACATCACCTGACTGACCTCCTCCTACATCACCTGACTGACCTCCTCCTACATCACCTGACTGACCTCCTCCTACATCACCTGACTGACCTCCTCCTACATCACCTGACTGACCTCCTCCTACATCACCTGACTGACCTCCTCCTACATCACCTGACTGACCTCCTCCTACATCACCTGACTGACCTCCTCCTACATCACCTGACTGACCTCCTCCTACATCACCTGACTGACCTCCTCCTACATCACCTGACTGACCTCCTCCTACATCACCTGACTGACCTCCTCCTACATCACCTGACTGACCTCCTCCTACATCACCTGACTGACCTCCTCCTACATCACCTGACTGACCTCCTCCTACATCACCTGACTGACCTCCTCCTACATCACCTGACTGACCTCCTCCTACATCACCTGACTGACCTCCTCCTACATCACCTGACTGACCTCCTCCTACATCACCTGACTGACCTCCTCCTACATCACCTGACTGACCTCGGCTGCTCCTCCCACACTTCCCAGAGGCCTCTGCAGGTGGCAGTTGAAAATCTCCTCGGCTCGCTTCAAGTATTGGGAGATCTTCCTCTTCACGGCATCTCGGCGCTCCCGACTCGGGTCCACTGCGGGAGAAACACAGAAGATTAGGGGATAGAGAAGACGGAGGACAGTGGGGGAGGGAGGACGGAGGACAGAGAGGACATTGGAAGTGACAATATGGCAGCAGCTGATTGGACGATGGTTTGTGGGTGTGGTCACCTGTCACCCCGCTCAGTAGGAGCTCCACGCCATGCTTGTAGTGGTTGAACGCGGCCTCGTACTCCTCATTGGCGTCGCGCTCCTGAGCCACGTTAAGCTGTTTGGCTGCGTCCACCAGATAATCGCGCCGGGGCGGCACTTTGGATGGCGGCTCAATGACTCGATATAGGCAGGGGACGTCTCTGTCACAGCTCATCTCCCCCGAATCCGGAGGACGGACAGGACACACTGCAGAGACAATAACAGAGGGGTGAGGGGTCCCCAGGAAGGAATGAGGGT